AGATTGATGTCTACTATCAAAACATCTAATAGGATTTCACTTGAATTAAGGTCAATATCTCTAACTTAACTATGGAATTATAAGTGCCTTGCTTATTATTTACATGTAAATTTTCTGATGTTTGCTCCATTTGTGTACATGATCTTGAAATTCTTATACATATCAATGCTTCAAATCTTTTGATATTTAAGAAATATATAACTTATACAAATGAATGATGGAAAGACGTTTAACAAAAGGTTGACAAAAATTCATGGAGACAAGTAGAAATTATTTGATTTTTCTGGGATTATTAGCAAAGAAGTATGTGAAAAGGCAATTAAAGTGAGAAAATTATCGGCAATGGCACTGGTTAGAGCAAATAGAAAGGGTTATGTTGTACCAAGTCTCATACTTTGCCTATAATTACAAAACATTTTGGACCTAATGTTCTCTCTAATTCATTCTTGTGTGTCTTTTTTTTCTCTAAGTCTTCGTTTTTGTAGTATATTACTCTCATATAATACTAACAAAACTTCTTGTTATTCATTCCCCATAGAATCCATAAATTACTTATTATTTTCTTTTAGTATTCATCCTTTTGTTTCTCATTGACATTTTTTTTTCGCTATTTCCCAACTCTCCATCATTTTCTTGCTTTCGCTTTTTTTTTTGTTTTTTTTTTAATTTTTTTTTCTCTAATCCTCAATCACTTTCACTTGAAATTCATTAAGTAAATAACGAATTTAGGCCTCTCTTTTTCTTTGTGGTTCTTTGAGAGGCAATATTTTGCCTTCATAGTTATTTTATCTTTGATCTTTCCATTATTATGAAAGATATTTCTTTATCCCCCAAGAACTAATTATATATTTACCATGATTTGCTTTGATATCTACTCTTAGTTGTATTTTGGTCTATCAAATTTATTCTCCATCAATGACTTCATTGACTCCTGAATGCTTCTACAAGGTTTTACATAGAAAAACACAGATGTAGAGGTCTTAAGACAATGTTATTCAAAAAGAAATGATATGATCATAATTTAAGGATGAAATAATTGAAAAGACATTAACATATGATAAATACAAGTAAAGGTCACTTTTTTTGGTCTTGATAGTCTAATGATCCATGATAATAACATGATTGCTCTTTTTAGAACAGGCTAAAAATGACTTCTGAATGAGTCTTCCTTTCAATGATATTTCAATATACTTGAAATAAGGATTGATTTTTGAATCTCAGGGTAGAGGTTTTGGTGAAAAATGTTTGTTTGAGTAAGTTT